CTCCAGGAGTTTATTAAACAACACATAGCATTTCATAAGGGGTGACACTTTAAGTCAGAGAGACATAGGGTCTCAAAATCAGAAGCACTCTGAATGATCCCCTAATATCCCACAAGAGAAGTGTCTTCCCAAGGCCATGTAGTAAGGTGGTAACAGCCTAGATCCTAGGTTTTCTCACTTCAAATCCATCCCTTTCCTACCATGCCATGGTTCATTAGCATGTTCCTGGGGTTAGTTTAACAGACTGCTTTCCAAATAAGAAGGAAACAGCAGGTCAGGGCCAGGTTGACTCTGATGTAGGAGGTGGTAAAAGGAAGGTTGAACAAGGAGAGCACACCTTGGTATGGGGCCATATGGGGAGTTCTGGACAGTTAGGGCTGTGGGCATGGATGTTATGGGGGGGAGTCGAAGGGCAACTAGCTGTGTGATCTTGGGCAAATCACTTAACCTCTCTGAGTCTCAGTTTCCTATCTACGGTGATAACCACAGGGACTGGAGGTGAGGCACTGTGAAAGGTTCTTTACACATGCTGTGATCTTCACAGCAACTCTGTGGGGATCCCTCATTTTTAGAGATGAGAAACATTTAACTGTAGAGAGGATGTTGTTTTAACTGGGACTGTCATAGCAAAATACAATAGGCTGGGTGGCTTAAACAGCAAACATTTATTTCTCACAGTTCTGGAGGCTGGAAGCACAAGATCAGGATGCCAGTACGGTTGGGTTCTGGTGAGGTCCCTCTTCCTGGTTTGCAAGCAGCTGCCTTCTCGCTGTATCTTCACATGATAGAGAGATCATCTGTCTTGTGTCTCTTCTTCTAAGGGCACTAATCTCATCAGGAAGCCTCCACCCTCATGACCTAATTACAGCTCAAGGGCCCCACCTCCAAATACCATCACATCGGGGACCAGGGCTTCCACGTATGAATGTTGTGGGGTCACAAAACATTCAATCCATAGCAGATGATAACTCGTCCAAGAGTATGTAGCAGATAGTGGCAGAGCTTGGACTTGAACCCAGGTTAGTCAGACCTCAGGGCCAAGGCTCATTTCCCTGAGTCCATAATAGCTTGTTCAGTAAAAAGGCAAGGCCAGTGACCTTCAAGATCCATCCCGCTCTAAAATTCAGTACTATAATTCTGCTGAATCCCTAAATCCTGATTGGGTCAGCTACTTTCTCTGAATATTGTTTATATCTTTCAAATAACACTAGCCATCTGAGGTAACGATATCTGTTCTGTACAAAACTTAACACATTTCAGACCCTCGACAAAGATTAAAGAGCAGGCCAGACAAGTGGCATCTCTGGTTTTCAGGGAATAATGCACATCCCATCTCTGAGGGTCACTTCATTCCTACTCTGAATCTAAGCACTCAGAGCCATAATGGCGGGAGGAATTTATTCATTTTCACACAAAAGAATTGCCAAAGCTAATTACTAACAGATATGTGTGAGTGTTCGAGAAAGGGAACACCAGCTTATGGATTCAAAAGCAATTTAGTCTGTCTTTCTAGGCAAATGCTTCTCTAAAAATGATATCCATTTGGATTATCCCAAATACTTGATTATTTACCACCAGGAGATCTTGGTCATATCTCATTTAGGAATCCTCAGCTATGGTTTAATCCTACATCCGCATGCTGTCCACATGTGTGAAAAGAACATTTCTCGTAAAGACATTCAGCTTAGAAATACACATCCCTTTTTCCTAGAGTTCTTCTTTGTGGCAGTTATTTCTGAAGTTCAGGAGGTAATACCGGGCCTATCTGTTTTGCTTCAGCCCTGTGACTTATCGACATATGTAATCATCATCCTGCCTTCCTGTTTGTTTTAAATTTAGAATTTTTCCTAAATAACGGCTCCAGAAACTCTCAAAATTACCTAATTAGTAATACTACTTTGCAAATGATAAAGAGCATTTCCCAGCTAGTTGATTCAGTTAGTTAGAGCAGGATGCTAATAATTAGGCCATGGCCACGGGTTTGGGCTCAGGCAAAGGTGTGACCAGGGTCTCAGGAAGGACCAGGAGACAATGTGGATGGCAGGACAGAGAGCCATCCCCACTAGAAGGAAAACAATATTACTATTGGGTCAGTAACATCACATTGGGAGGACAGCATACCTTAAAACAAAACAAAAACAAAAGTAGGAAGGGAGGGAGAGAGGCAGGAAGGAAAGAATAGAAGGAAGGAATAGAAAGAAGGAAGGTAGAAGGAGGGAAAGATGGCAGGCAATTATTTAACTGTAGACAAGTTCATGGAGATAAATAGAAAAGGAAGAATAACAGAAGGAACCGGAATCTGAAGCATGGCATGACCTTTAATCAGGGCTCTTATTCCTAGCAGGCTGTGAAGCAGCTTTGTCTTTACCTGCTCAATGGATCCCACATGCTGATGCACCGCTTTAATTTGGGAAGGCTTTCTCTTGAGAGACATGTCTTTTCCAGCTCTAAGTATGAAGTGCTCCCAAGTGTGGCATTCTCTGTGACAGATGTACTACAGTGATGCTTTAGCTAACTCCAAACCCATAGCTTCCCCGTGCCTGAGTGGTCTATTTGACGTCCAAGAGTGTGTTTCCTTTGAGAACAGGTCTTTACCAGAATATCATCCAAGAAGGTAGGGAGGTATAATCCCTTTGTTCTATAACAGTCACGGTTAAACTCTGGAACCCCATCCCCACGCCAGGGCTATTCTTTCCAAAGGTCTGAAAGGTATTTGCTGCTGTACATGGATGCCTTAGGCCTATGCCTTTGGAAGGCACTGCCTGAGAGTGACCTGAGAGGCCTCTCCTTTCAAAATCTTCTCCCGAGGTCGCTCCATTTTCACTGATGGCCCCAATTCCACAGGAGTCTCTGTAAAGAGAAGGAATTTCAAAATAATTTTCATAGCTCCAAGGAAACCAGATTCCCCGGCAAACCTCCTGTCCAGGGATGCACTTCTTTGAGAAGTCTCAGGGTCTTGTCAACAGGGTCCAACATGTGACTGGCAGGACCAGCCAGCTGCAGACATGTCCATCAGTGTTGACTATACGTGTCTGTTCCTCACTCATGAAGCCTGGTCGTTCTTCTCTGAATTCTAACCTTCCCACCATCAGACTCCATTCTTGAAGGGAGGCAGAAATGCGACCACGGGCCATTTCTGTTGGGACATGTGCCACTTGTCTTCCATCCATTGTGGCTCCTCCTACCAGCACTGATGTCTGCTACAGGACACATTACTTCTCCAACTCTCTCTTGCCCATCCAAGACGAAGGAATTTGTCTTCATCCGACAGTTTGTATCCTTACTTGGTGCGTTAAGAAGATCAGAAAGGGTGAGAGTCTTGGCAAGAAGGCTTTTCCCATCATTCCTATGCCTATAACAACTCTTCAGAGTAGACAAAAGCTTACTGCTGTTGAAAGTCAGCCTCTAAAATTCAAGGAAATTCCCCCTCTTGGACTTAACACTTCCTTTTTTGCATTTTTACTTGAGATGACAGTCTAACTATTCCACTGCCCAGAACCTGAGGAAAGAAAAAGAATTTGAAGGTTTTCTTTTCTTTATTTAAAAAAAAAATGTGTTTGCTTATTGTCCTTTAATTGTAAATCATCTCTCAGCTTACTTTTCTTTTAGATAGCTTTCTGCCTTGAATTTGTTAATGAATGTCAGTTAATACTTGTTTAGTAAAGACAAACCATGAACAATCTAACAGTAATACTCAATACAGTACTGTGGTACAGTAGTTATTGATTAATTACTTGGGTCTTTTTCTTTGAGTTCTCTGAAAACTCTTCAAAATGCAGAGAGCAATATAATCCTACAATTTGGTAAAGATGGGCTTATACATCTATAAATGCTGACATGCTGAAGACAATCTGTTCCTTAAATCCCTAAGCAAGAAGTAATCAGTACAGTAAGCTGATACCTGGCTTACAGAGGAGAAGGCAGGGTGTGAAATATCTATGCCTCCCCCTGCCCCAGGCCATTAGGAACATTTAGACCATGGGGCAGAGCATCTATTTTTCTAGTGCAACAGGTTTCAATGATGAAATGTAGTGATTTCACACCAGAAACAGACACAATACAATTTCCTTTTCTTTTTTTTTAAGGGATATGTGTGATATATATTGCTGTTGTCATCCAAACCTCTTCTGATTTTATTTTTAAATCACATTTATTCCATTTTTTTTCATGCAGAAAAGTATAAGGAAGAAAACTGTCCATCATCCCATTCTTAGAGAACCTTCTTGACATTTAAAAATAAATGTGATATGTTTATACGTCTTAAAATTTCGATCAGTATGGAGAGAAGCAAAATGAAAAAGCCAATGCTTCTTTAGTTTTATTCATTATGAGATTTCAGATTCTCTCTATCTGGGGACAACTCCAGGTATGTCCCCTAAGAAGCTACCAGATTTAAGAATAAAAGAACATATGTTGAGAGAAACCTAGAGAGTGGCAAGGGTGATCACACACAGCATAACGCTCCTTGTAAAAATCACTCTTGGATATTAAGGTGGCAGAAGAACTGTAAATGCTGGAAACTGATGGCCTGTTAGAAAGTCAGGGAGATGGGACAGCTTTGATGAGCATATTTGAAGTTATTGTACAGACTGCAAAGGAAGATTTCACCCTGTTTTTCAGGACTGGTGGATAACTTACGAATGAATGAGAAGGCAGTGACATGCTTCCATTCATGCATGTGTAAAAAGTAGATCACAGAGATTATGGGGTCAGCTGATGATATCAGAGTAAACTTTTATATGATCAGTTTCCTTGAGTGATTTTATAACACTTTTATAAAAAAGATAATAGTTTTGAGTGACCTCTAAGATATTCTTCTGGTGATGAGTTTCATGATATATACTAGCCAGACTTTCCAATTATGCCATGTATGTAAGTCAAAACTGGGATCCACATCTTCTCAGCATTGATAAACGACAATGTGATAGTGCATGTCTTGACCACTCATTTAAAATAGATCGCAATCCTATTTCATCTCTTGTGACACTTTCCTTTCACAGATCATGAAAGTCGCAACACCTTCGAGAATTGTGAAATCACCATGGGATTTTGATTTTTTTATTTATAATGGTGTCATAGACAAGACAGCCCCGGACTTCTTAGCATTCAAGGAACATTTTAATTTATCTTGGGGAAGTATTTTTTCCCTCTTGGAACACATCGAGAAGTTTCTCAGGGACTATGCAATACCAGAAGTTAAAATAAAAGGGAACAATTTGGTAGCCTTCCTTCCGGAGTTTGAGCTGAAGAATAAACTTACCAGATACGACTTTCTCTCACTGTTAGAGAACCCACTTCATATCCAGATGATGTTAAATCTTCCAGGGCAAAGGTACAAGGGCCAAGATGGAAGGTCAGAGGCTGCCAACAAGATCCAAGCCACATGGAAATGCTTCAAGGCAAGAAAATTCTTCCTCATCTATCGCCAGCAGAAGTGGGCATCGGGTGTGATTTCCATTGCGTGGCTCTTACATTGCCATAAGACCCGAGTGAAGAAGATCCTGAAGGAATCACGTGAGAGACACCTGGAGAATTTCCGTATCCGAGCCAAGGTACACAAGGCTGCCAGCTGTTAAGGCAGACCTCTTTTTCTAGACATTTCTTGCTTGAGCGATTGCAATAAGTTGTCTCTTTATCTTCCCTTTCTCTCTCCAACTACCCTCCTCATCAACCTCACTCGCCTTCTGCTCTTCGTGTATGATGCACAAACCCTACATGTGTTTGTACATCATATTTTAGCCCTAATCAGGAATCTGGCTTTTGCACCTGTAAAATCTATTGCAATTTTTTTCTATAGAAAAAAAAATCCCTTCACTTTGACTATTGTCATTCTGTCAGAAAATCAATGTTTTAACTGCACTACCTTTTCTCCCTATATATACCTTCTGGCACTTTAATTTGCTAGGAAAAAAAAAGTCCTCTCTCGTCTACATTGCTGTCACCACTTTGTCAGAAAGTATTTAAGTTTGCAGACAGCCTTTTAATTAGTGCTCACAATTTCATTTATGTTTGCTTTCTCTTTTTTTCATTCATATTCTGTTAATTAAGTGAGCTGCCTCTAATCTTCCCCTGCCAGTAGCATCATGTAGCCACCTAATTAAATTAATTGGGGAAGATGTTTTAAGTATGTAATTAAATCAATTAATATAATTTATGCCTGGCTTAACTGTACAGTGGAAAAACAGCTGAAGTTTGACTAGATGAATCCACTACAGCTTCCTGTCACTGATCAATGCTCTTCTTGATTTTTAGCATCTGGCAGCCAACTGGAATCGCATCAGGACCTCCAGGAGGACTATTATCCATATCCCATCATTAGGTATAACACTTTTGCCTGCAAATCTATCAGCAACCTCTATTACCCACCACATTATGGCTCCTTGATTGAGTTCAAGGAAGGCCCCTTGTTTTATTCAAATTGGTCTCGGCAGGAAAATGTTCTCGACATGATGAGAGTAATAACACAGGGCCCTCGCTTGAAACGGCGTTTAATTTGGGGATTAAGCAAATAAAGTCATTATGTGGGGGCTGCTATTCAGTGGAGAGGTGATTTGCTGTAATTCGCTTTCATCTGTATGAAATGAACTAAAAAGTTGTATTTTTTCCCCCTGAAATAACAGATAATGTTTTCGATCTTCTTTAATGATAGAACACAGGCTTGCGTGTGTTGTTGCTGTTACGCCAATAAGCCAGGATATTGCTTGTACACTGTTTTTAATCAAATGTGCAGTCAAAATGATAAGCTACATTCTCTGAAATTATTTAGTTCTAATTACGAGCAGATGGGATGCTTTATTTGCACCTAGGGCGCCTGAGCAAAAGGAAATGCTGTGTGAACAAGAATAATTAAGAAGTTGAATAGTGTTTTTTGCGCTTAAATAATCTGCAGTTTCATGTTAATTAGCACTAATGTAATTATTTAATTACATTTATGAATTGGGGAACTTAAAAGCTGTTGTCTGCAACACAGTAGTAAAATAGGTATGCCAAAATGACATTGGGAATCTCAGAAGTCTGCACTGGAAATTCCTTTAAAACACGAGCTGCTGTCAAAATGTGTGGGGTTGTTTGCTTGCTTATTTGTTTCGTTTTGTTTTGCTTTTTAATCTACCTAGTGTGCTAAAAATTTCCTTGGTGAGATCAAGTTTCCCAAGCTGACTTGGTATCACATCTTCATATTACATAGGGCTCTTTGTTAAGGCCTTTTAAGTAGAGCGATGCATTAAGTGATCTATAGTGATAGAATTCTGGATTGCAATTTATTTGTGCCCCTCTGTGAGTATAAGTGTGTGTACTTATGCATAGTATAGAGCATAACATATTTAAACAGTAATATAAAAAAAATAAACCAACATAAAATTATTATATAAATATTATCTTTTAAATTAGGAAAATATTAGTAGTGATAAATTAATGCAAACTTTCCTAGAACCTAGAGTGCTTACAGAAAAGTTAAGAAAATATGTTAGAGCTGCACAGAGGCTTTTAGTTTGGGTCTTTTTATGGCTCACAGAAGAAATTAGTTCCTTCTTAGGATGTAAGTGAGGTAAGACAGATCTGAATTTCATTTCAAGTTGGGTTTTGTTTTGGTGGGACTAGTTTTGCACACAAAATTAGTTCACACTCAGAAATTGCACTTGTAATTGATTACCACCAGAGAGGCTAATTGCACACACAATTAACAGACTCAAGTCCCTTGGAATAAGGTGCAAGAGCCTTTTGCTTCTGCAACTAATTGTGGCCCCGACCTGGTATTATGCGGGAAATTTTGTGTTGTGTTCTCTATTTCATTCAAAACTAGAAATAGAACAAGACCCCCACTTTGCAATGTTGACAGCACGAAGGTTTCACAGGCACAATTTCCACAAACTCCTCCTTCTACCTGTCACCCTTCAAAACCCCAGTGTAGTCAGCCATGCAGAAAAGTCTGATAGAAAAGAGCCGTTGTCCAAAGAGGTAATATTTTGAAAATAACGGGCAGTAATCTAAACTGGGTAATAAAGAATAATTTTAAATGAAAATGTTTTAAAATTCCAAAAGGGTTTGCTGGATATAGATTAGGTAGAAAAATAACCTGGTCCAAAACTAGAATTGCATTATTTTAGATCTGGTATTAAAACTAGTTTTCTTCTATAAAACATATTCTCAGCTTAAATAAACACATAATAAATCTGAAAGTCTTCCATATTGTAGTAATTTTTGTTAACAACGTAATAACCCATTTTAAAGAATAATTGCTAATCATATATCTTCCAAGAGATAAGACTAAGCATATATATTTTTCTCAGCTGACCATTTAAAAAGCCCAATTACACATTTTCACAAGAGAATAATACATGGGCTCTGATCAAATAGTATTTGTTTCTATAACCTATGCTGTAGGTTTTATAAAATAACCTGTGGCTATTAAATTAAATTTAGGTTTAAATAACGTTAACCTGTCACCTCATACTTATTCCACAGACATAATTCTCAAACCATAACTTTCTTTAAAAAATGATTATGGTATACCTCTTTTGTGTGCACCACTTTCCCTGTGAATTCTTAAAGATTTTAGCTAGTCACAACATGCCTACTTTGTCTCCTGTACTAGGGACAATTCATGAAAACAAAAGTAGATAAAAGTAAAGCCCTTTTTTCTTCTAAACACATGTCCCCCAAAATCTATTCAAAATAGTAATTTTGTTTTCAGAGTTGAGAGGGATTCACTAATCAAAATGAGTTGGTAGACATGTAAGGTTCAGGTAGGCATTTAATACAAATCACAGCCTTGTCCGCTTTTTCTCTTTCTACAGGAGATTTGCAATCAATTCTGGCATAGAATTAGCCCTAGAAATAATTACGCCATGTCACTAGCCAATTAGGGCTGCACTAACTTGTTTGAACCCTAAAAATGAAAGATTCATAGCAGATAACTATACAGTATATTGCAGTTATAGGCATTTGGTTATTTGTTTATGCAGTTTTGCACACACAAGAATAATTGCATTCTCCAAACTGATGATCACGTAGAGGACCACAGTAATGTCTTCAGTAATGCCTTTGACCACAAAATATTTATCATGTATTTTCAAGTATATGGCTTGATAATATGCACATTAAGACAATTACACATTGCAGAGTACTCCTCTTTGAAAGGAGTAATTATAAAACTTGATTGACTGTTACGTATTTTGGGTAGTATTCCTAGACATAACAAAGTTTTAGCTCCTTTTAACAAACAGGAGAGGTGGGATGCTGTTGATTAATTGTCCAAAGAAACTGATCAGCTTTGTAATTTCATAAGATGATAGAAAAAAACCTCATCCTTTTCAGAGTATATAGGCTAATCTCTTAATTGGATATTAGATATTTTTATCATTTTTATTAATGAAATACAATGAAATACAAAAATATAACAAAATAATCTACTATGGTTCATAGCAGGAATAGAATACTAGGGTCTATTTTAAGCAAAATCTATCAGTCAAATAAGAAAGAACTGCAACAAAGAATCCTAATACCTCTAGAAAAATCAGAGGTCTAAATAAAACCTAGGAACTAATTCTGCTTCCAGTTTCTCTGGCCAAGTTATTTCCTCCACTTTTAATTTAACCCCCATGCTCCTTTATTACAGTACATCATTTGGTGCTACACTTAAACTCAGTGACATTTTAAAATATATTGACATTAAATGAGATAGGCCAAGTATGGGGCTCTGATGCCGTGGGCAGGTATATGAGGCACCGCCAGCCAATTAAACACCCAGTGATGAGTTTCCTCCCTTACTTCTCTTCCTCTTTTAAAATAAAAATAGGGAATTATTGAGGTGGGATTTTCCCTTTTCTCTACGTAGTCTTTTATTTCATTGCCAGTTTATTTAATGGCTAAAAGGAATCTATATAGTTCAGCTTCATTTTTTTTTTCCCTCTGTGCATTACTTCAGCAAGTTATCCTTGGAGCAAACACCATTAGTGGTCTCCAAGATACTCCCTTCCATAAAGTTGTGGATTCTGTTGTTGTGAGTGTCGTGAAAGAACATTTTTCTGCTGCTCTGTACTACCACGGAGGCCTTAAAAATAGGAAAACTTACTTTTGTGTATAACTGACCCTATCCCAAATGTTCATGAGACAGTAGCTCCCTAACCCCACTCCCTTTTATGGAAAGATAAGAACCAGATGTCACCTCCCTTTGTGAACAGGGGCAAGGGTGGAAGACCACAGCCAAGAGTGTTACCTCTGAAATCACATTCTTACTATGTCTCCAAGCACACTGACGTCTTTCTGCTTTCTCATTTTTGGGTTGACAACTCAAAGACACGATAGACTTTGTTCTTAGGGCTAAGAAATTGGGACTTTCAGTCAAATCTTCATGGTCTTCAACATGTATTTTGGCAAGTTAGCTATGGAATCCACAGTTCAGTTATGGCATTGCTATACTAGATCCTTGAGACAGAGGTACTGCCAAGATCTCCCAGATACAGTTCCCCAAAATATACACATCCTTTGAGATCAGAAACAAAGTGCACTTAAACAGTCCAATTCCTTTTCAGCCTGAATTAAAATGAAAACACATTGTATTCCTCAATGTTATATTCATCCAAGTAATTCAAATCAACACTCCTTAATTAGTTAGACCAGAGTTGGCCCCATGACCCTGTAATATTAAGTTACACAGTTGGCCTTGAGCTATCTGATGTTGCACCATGAAGTACAGAAGCAGCACTGAACACCAGCTCATGAGCTCTTCATGAAATGGATTAGTATTAGGATATGGTATAAAGAGTCTTGCATTTACTAAGATAAAACTATACTCTTTGTCATCGCCTTCATTGTCATAAAAAATATTAAAATGTTTGTTCAGCTGTTCTCAAACTTATACTTGTAACAACTATTGAGAACCCTAATAAGCATTGTTTCCATAGGTTGTATCTATCAATACATACTGTACTGGAAACTAAAATTGAGAAACTTTAAAAATATTTAATTTACTTTAAAACAACAACAATAGGGGTGCCTTGGTGACTCAGTTGGTTAGGCATCTGCCTTTGGCTCAGGTTATGATCTCAGGGTCATGGGATCGAGTCTTGCATCGGGCTCCTTGCTCAGCGAGGAGCCTGCTTCTTCCTCTTCCACTCCCCCTGCTTGTGTTCCCTCTCTGTCAAATAAAAAAACTAAAATAAAATCTAAAATAACAACAATGAATCAGTTACCAATGTAACCTAAATAACATATTTTTGTTAAAAAAACCTTTATTTTCCCAAACAAAAAAATTTAATGAAAAGAGTTGCGTTGGTTGACAAGTTAGCAAATCTCTTAATAGAACATGGTTAGATTCTC